AAGTCGTTATCACGATATAACAGTGCATAAAAAAAAAAAAATCCATGGCCGTTCTCGGCTTCCGTAAAGGGAGAGATAGGGTGTTTCATTTTTATTTATCACGTACGTTGTATGTATTTACATAGCACTCACACAATGAAGCTACTGTTTAACAGTTTAATTTCCATAATTTGAATGCTGCTGCTGTTATGACTACCACAGTGTGCTTATTTTCATAATCCCTCATCACACAAACTGCAAACAAGGTGGGGGTTTTTTCTTACTTGTATGGCAGAACCTTCATGTCTTATTCTACTGCTCTCTTTGACGCTTGTTTTTCACTTTATAAATATGGGATAAAGAAATCAACAACTTTGTGTCTGTAATTTGGAATGTAATGTAATGTTCAGCGTGGGGGTAACTGAGAATTGATTTTTACCACTTACCTTCATCTCTTTATTTGTTCACTCTTTCTACTAATTATGATTAAACCAAGACTTATCTCTAATTGTCTTTTGTATAGGAAAGAACATCTCAGTATGGCTACAAAATAAAAACACTTAGCAGGTGAATCACTTAAATAAACATATCCCTACATGAGATATGTTTTGTGAAAATTTAGGGACTTCAAAATCCTGGGTGATTATTAATCTGAAACTAATTATAGTGACAAAGTTCTGTTATCCTTACCTCATAACATAATGCATGAAGAGGACTATTCCAAGGAAGAACATGGACAACCCACAGCCAACTTGGGTGATAATGGTGAGGCTGTTCAGGTCAGAACTGGAAATGGTTTCATGAAGAGGAGTCTGCAAAGAACAAAAGTTAAACACTTTTAAGCACTTTATCACAGGAACTGGCATTGGTGATCAGGATGGGTTCATTACAGAGGGGGGAATTCAAAAAGGGGGTAGCTAACACACAGTGCAATCAGCAAACATGGTCTTACAGAATATTTGTATTCTACAGGGAATGTATATCATGAAAATATTTTTAAAAATATAACTCACCAATAAGATAGCAAAAAAAGTCAAATGTGAACACTGGCATGTAATGTTCTGTCCATCTGTTAATGTCCAGCATCCGTCACTAGTCCAGTTTGGTCGGCTCCCTAAAAGACGGGAACATGCAAACAGTGCAGAGCTAAAACTGGAGGGTTCAGAAGCACATTTGAGCGAGGACAAGAAAACTTAAAGCATGAATGGTCGTTTTTAACTACATATTTTAACAGAATGGATTTTGGTCATGATATTTCTGGACAGACTCCCTAGTGGCAGAAACTACATATTGTATATTTAAGCATCTAAAAGGTATTCCGCTATCATTCATTGTATCATTTACACCTGTGCTTTTCCTTCTGTGACATGTCACGCGAAAAAAAGGCTTATTAGTTCACCAGCTCACCAGTGTATTCTGTGTTATTTAATGTCGTATTCTATTCTATCATGGATCATAGCAGCATTCACACTGTGGGATTTCAGTCTTAAGAAAAGCTAATGTTATCACTTACACTTGTGCTGATGTGTTAAAATGTCTGCTAGTTTTTACTCAGCAACAGTGATTTGCATGTAGCAGATTAAATAACATAAATAAAAGAGAGAAATCATCTATCCAAAATTTGATCTTGCAGATGACCTTTTTCACAGCAGCCATTTTAAAATTGTAGGGTAAACACAGGTATTAACAATGATAATAATAAAGGTGCCTTTCCTGTGACCCAACATGTACAACAGCTGACTCTGTTTGACCTGAATGGAACAGAACCTACTATCATTGATAACACCTGTGTTTACCCTACTATTTCATGTCAAAATGGCTGCTGTGAAAAAGGTCTATTTAAATAAAAGTGGTAAAAATACCTTCACCATTCCATGAGTGACAAGATGGAAATCCTTCCTGTAAACAAAACAACAGAACTGCGTTAAAAATGTGCTCTTGGATGGTTAAAAAATCATTTGAGAATGCTCTTTTTTGTTGTACTTACGTATTCCATATTTCGAAAACTGATGAGTATTTTGTCTGTGAGATTGCGGATCTCGGTTCCCATTTCAATGGCTAGAACCTCATTACCCAAAACAGTGCTGTTCATCTCATCCTGAAAAAATGGAAAAGTTACACAATAGTAACAAATATGTCAGAGTATCATTGAAGGTAAAACTGAGATACGTTTTCTTACCTTGGCCATATTGATGAATCGGACAACAGAGGCAAATGCTACACTAATGTTTGAACGGGCAGATTTTGTAAAAGCTTCTTTTGTCACGGTAACAGATCTTGAAAATGCTTTCACACCATCCCTGCTGTCTAAAATCTGCAGGAAAGAGCATAACAAGTGTGTTGTCAATATCATCTACGGTGCAGCTTTAAAGTCAAAAGAATTGTGAAACCATTTACTTTTAAACAATTATAATCCTGGAAATTACTTAGAATTTAGGAAATGACTTTAAAAAATTTAATGAACAGGTTTGAGAAGATAAGAGAGAAGAGAAGAAGTTGGAGTTGTAGGTTTTCAAGACATCGTTCCAGCGAGTAACCACAGAGTAACCTAAAAACCACAAATTGTTGTTTCCATTAATGTGACTCTGTGGTTAACAATGATAGTCTCTTTGTCCACCACTTTGGACCAGACTAGAATATCTCAGTAGCCTAATTATTTAATGCCATGAATTTTTGCATGGACATTCACGGTCCCCCGATGATGAATCCGACTGACTTTAGTGATCCTTTAACTTTCCCTTTAGCTCTAGCATGAGGTTGACATTTGGCTTTTTTCCCACCACCATTATCAGGTCAAAATTTAAATTTGCCTAGTACTTTTTATGACCAAATATTTATATACACTGAACAAAATTATAAATGCAACACTTTTGTTTTTGCCCCCATTCATCATGAGCTGAACTCAAAGATCTAAGACTTTCTCTATGTACA